CCCCCCCCCCAAAACAACCCAATTTTACATTACTTAACTTGTAAAAGCTATTGAGGTAGCAGTTGAACTCTTTGAATAATTTGAACTTTTTCTTTTCTACAGGCATGGGCCTTTTGTTATTTTTTGAGAATAAGATATTGAAAAGTATTTAAGATGCCATACGGAGCACATTGCTTAAATTTGAGTTAAAAGTTCCTGATCTCTTTTTATGAATGAAAGGGGCCACCTTTTTCAGAAAACCTGAAAAGAAAGTTGGAACTTCAACTTAAAGTGGAGCAAGTGCGACTGTTTTTTGATAACCAGAGTTTGTGCGATTATTCAAGTGCTCAAGGTTAAGTTTCACCATGCTAAGTCATGCATATATTTTGACTGTGTCGCACTTCATCTTTAGGGGTACAAGTCACCTCATTATTTAGCCCAAAAATAAAAAAGTTTAAGAAGTGTTTTTGAGGACCTACATTTCCCCCAACTCCTTTTGCAGACGAGTTCCATGCTGAGAGAGAATAAGTTCAACACCTGAATCCAAAGACTTGGCAAATCTCCACTTGCCATAGAACCAACCAGCACCTGGAGATAGAAAGTTTGAAAATATAAGCAATACACAAGCAACCTAACATGAATGTCTGTTTTGGAGTAGAAATCAGTGTCCTACATACTAAGATTGGCAGTAGAGTGAGAGATTTTACAAGTCTCCAAAGTTGCAAAAGCCCTTTGCAACTAAACATGAAATAAGCATGTCAGTTTATTTTTCTTTATTCATGAAAAGGCTGTTAGGGTACTTCTTGACACGTAAAAATACAGAACATTTCAATCATCAATCCAAAATCTTAACAACTTTTAAAAAAATGAATCTGGCTAGTCAACCATTGGCACTGCCTTTACAATCTACTGCATGATTGAATTAATATTTGTAATAAAACTGCACGATCATGTGAGAAGAGAAGAGATTTCCACCAAGAAGTAACAACAAATGAATAATTAATTAATAAAAATAAGAAGGATCACAACTAAGTGACTTGGAGTTGAATTCTTCTTTTAGCTTTTAATTCTTGCATTACTTATGACTTTATTTTTAAGAAAAGCTAAATATGTAGTTGAATTGAGCGCTTGACAGGCATCAACTGCTTACTCAGCATTTCAGAATTTACAAAAACAGATACCAGACAGATAGATAGTTGTTGGTGCCCAATATGTAAGAGTAAAAGAGAAGAACACGAGAAAGACAACTCCCTGTCCACTAGAATAAGGTTGAGGATGAGGGTGAGTTTTGATTTACCTACTGCAAGATTGATGCGGAGTAGGTTATGCAGCCTTCGAGTAACTACAACAAAAACAAATTGAAATAATAGTGTTAGGTGCTTTAATGAACAATAAATATAGGGAGGGAAGAAGATAATCACAGAGCTAAAGCAATACAGCAGAGAAGTGAAAAGAAAAAAAAAAGAAAAGAAATTGCTTCTCTGAGCGGCATATATCCCTAAACTTTGTGAAATTAGTCATCCATGTCTTTCATTAAAAGTTTCTTAAAAAAGAACTTCATTGTTACTCAAACGTATCATATACGCCCTTCATTTCTAATGGAACTCCAGCAGCATAGTGCATACTATCTATGCTGAAAATTTTAAAGGTCCACCTAAGTGAGACATGTGGGAACAAAATCCAAATTTGCCCCCACATTTTGCGAAATTAGCCATCCATGCCCCCATTTTTATAATTAGGCAGGCGACATGGTGTAAATTTGGACAATGTTGGAAAATCCCCATTCTTTTAAATAAACTATCATCAAATGAACCCATTGTTGGGAATTGCAGAATACCCACAGAAATATTCACAATCAAATAATGGGAACGAAACCGAAAAATTAGGGCACTGAAAATAAAAACGTAGAAAACCCTTTTAAACAAAGGGAAAAATCAAGGCCCCAGAGGAGCAAAAACAATATTACTATAGCGAGACAAATACATTTTGCACTCGAGTATCACAAAATCCTCAAGACTATACACCCAATGATAATCCTTTCAATTTGTAATGCACTCCTTCAGGTGCACAGGACTAGAGTGGGAGATTCGTGGGGTCCAGTCCCATTACAATTGAAAAAAGGGAAGAAATTTATTATTTGGCAAAATTTTCAAAGGTTTGCAGTAACCATAGATTGGGCTAAATGGTCAATAGATCTATTCACATCGCAACCTTTGAAATTCTATTGTTTGCTATGTCACTGATGACATCGGCAGGTTATTTTACTCGTAGAAATATGATGTTTCCCTTCATTTGTAGCGTACACAATTTCATAAAATGAAGCACATCTGTGAAGCAAAACATTAAGAGCATTGAGCACCTTTTCAGAGAGGTTATTCAAGAGGATATCCTTGTATAGCCTCGAGGATTTTTGTGAAACTCGAGTGTGAAGTATATTCGTCTCACTATAGTGATATTGTTTTCGCTCCTCTTTTTTTTTTTTTTTGATAAGGTAAAGATTTTATTAATAAATGTACCAAGATGGTACAAAAGGTTACATTTAGAGCAGCCAAACACCTACAACAACAGAACTTCAGTTACAAGTTTCCTAACGAATCCAAAAACTCTAAATACTGATCCACACTCTCAACTAAACGTCCTTTACACCAAACAAATAATTTTTGCATACAATTACTTTTAATTCTAAAGATGTGTCCTCCTATTCTCAAAGCAAGCATTGTTTCTTTCTTCCCAAATAGTCCAGAAGATGCATAAAGGAATGGTCCCTCCAAAGCTGCTTCTTACTTCTTATTGTCTTCTGCCCTCGCCAGCTAAACAGTAATGATTTTATGTCTGAAGGCATAGTCCAAGAAACACCACACAGATTCAAGAAGAGCTCCCACCATTGTTTAGCAATTTTACAGTGGATAGACAGGTGGTTAAAAGTTTCCAACTCTTCACATAAATAGCACCTGTTACTTCAACTATATCCTCATTTTTGTAGATTATCTTGCGTAGGAGATAGCAACCCACCCAAAACAAGCCACTTTGGTAGGCGCTCTGGTTCTCCATAACATTTTCCAAGGCCAATTAGAATCATAAGAATCAGATTGTTTCTGGAGAACGTTATAACAGCTTTTGACAAAGTATAGCATATCATTACTTGCTGTCCATACCAATCGATCCTCCTTGTTTTCCTATATCACTGTTGTACTCAACAATTGGAGTATTTGTCCCACTTCTTCCATCTCCCATTCATTAAAACCTCTTCTGGAGTTTAATTGCCAGCCATTTGCGGAGAAAAAACTCGGCAGCATGTCCATATTTGCTAATATGAGAAATTATATAGGCTTGGAAATCTGGTACTTAACATCACTTCCCCGCCCATACTTCAGTCCAGTCCAAAATCTGATTTTACTTCCATTTCCCAGCTTCAGTCTTGTGTGTTGTTAAAATTCATTCCACAGCTTACTAATATTGCTCCAGATACTGCCTTTTGTAGAACTATGAACAGTTGCAGGCCTCCATGTATCCTTCTTCGCTCCTCTTGCGTCGGTTTCCACATTTTCATTCACGATTCTTTATTTCTCTATTTTATTCTCGTTATTTGACTGTGAATATTTATGTGAGCATTTTGTGGGTCCAAACAGTCCTTGAGGCTATACACTCACGAAATATCTTCACTACAAAGCCACTCAAAACTCTAAATTTTTTCTTCAGAATGTGCTTTTTATGAATTGGCGTATTACAAATGGAATCTACTATTTATAGGAGTAAAATACACTGCCGGTATCATCAGTGATATAAGCAAAAGATAGAATTTCAAAAATTGCAATATAAGCCGATCTATTGTCAGGTTGGCCAAATCTATGGTTGCTGCAAACCTTTGAAATTCTTACCAAATGATAAACTTCTTTCTTTCAATATGTAATGGGTTGGACCCCACACCCATTTCCTCCAAGCAACCAGGATTGATGCCATCCTCCACCTATATGTCGCCACTACAACTACTCCGCGACCTCTCTCAAGCCACCCTTCAATCCCAACCATCGTCTTCTCTCTTCCTCGATTTTCCGGCAACAAGACCTCATCTTCGGGGATAACATGAAAATGTTCATCTTCTAACGTCTAAGGTTTGAACATAACCCATATGAAGGCTCTACAATATCATTACAGCGACAAAGTTTAACCTTACTTGTTTTGGGCCTTTTTGGACTATTCACCATTGATGGGAGACAGTGCATCTTGACAGGTCGTATCATATCCATTGTTGAAACAATTTCTTGTAAAATTGACTTGAAAATACACATAGTTGAGAATGATATGGTATCTAAAATTGGCACGCAAACCTTTCTATGACTACTGCAAGTTGGAGATTTTTTTCCAATAGAGCTGATAATATCTGCCATTTTCAAGACTTATTTCTCATAAATCTAGGGGGATAGGGAGAGGTGGAAATCCAACTTGCACGGTCCATTTGCAAAACTTTAGAATTTTAAAAAGTTCACCATTGCTTAGGGTGGAGGAAGCTCTTCTTGGTCACTAGCTATGGTGGTGGGGGTTAGGGAGCATTGATGAGTATTTTTTGGAAAAAGTTCAGGGGTAAATTTGGGACATTTTTCCTTTTCTTTATCCACTTGTCTCATTTAGATGGCAATTTAAAAAGGCCAGCATAATAAAATATGAGTTTTGCTAGAAATGAAGGACATATATGATACATTTGGGCAAACGAGATGTCCCTTTGAAGCAAACTTTTAACGGATTGCATATATGACTAATTTCGCAAAGTTCAGGAGTAAATTTGAACACTTTCCATAACGAGATGTCCCTTTGAAGCAAACTTTTAACGGATTGCATATATGACTAATTTCGCAAAGTTCAGGAGTAAATTTGAACATTTTCCATATTTATTACAAATTGAACTACTAGAGTTTAGCCTAGAGATCAACACAATCAGAACGAACAGTGGGTGCACACTATATCCCCGTTTAGCTAACTTTCTAAGGCTAAAATTGACACCAGTCATCACCCTATCCTAATGTTTCTGACCTCAACAAGAGTTGATGGAACAGCCTTCGAGAAGAAAGAAGCAGCGGTGTAGCAAAATATGGCACAATAAAATTATACTGATTAGTTCAAACCATTATAAAAATACTAATCATAAAAATCCAAAAATGTCACTTTCCTTTCCTTTTTTTTTAGTGTAGGCAGGATGGAGAATCTAGTAATGGAATCACGAACGATGAAAAGTATTAGGGGGATTATCCACTAAAACGAACTATAGACCAAAAAAAAAAAAGAAAAAAAGAAATCAAAGGAACAAAGAAAAACACTATCCTGAAATAACTGAACGAATATTTGTAGATCAATAATCGATTTTGATTAACTAAAACTTTCAGTCCCATTTAACTATTCAGAGGTAAAAGAAAAGGCATATATGCAATATTTTGACTAAAGTTAACAAAGAATTATCCAATGATAAGTTGACAAGTAATTATGCAGGATTTGTACCTAACCAAGTGGCAATGGAAGCACCAGCGGCACCAATACCAAAATCTCTTACAGCAGATTGCTTCCATGAGTTTAGTAGTTTACTTTCTTCAGTTGTTAAAGTATCCTATCAATTTAATAAATATATAAATAAGTATGACATATTTCCAGAATTGGAATAAAACTGAAATTTACAACAAAAATTTTCTAACTAAGGATAACAAAAGAATAGATAAATTATGAAGAAATAAAGTTGGTACCCATTTCAATAGGAAGCATTAGGCATTTAGGCTCATAAAAAATCAAACCTTTCTGGAGATGAGAAGTTCATTCAATTCGATGAGAGCGTCTGCCATTGTTGCACCTAATTTCGCAGACTGAACCCGACCCAAGGTGTAATGGTTCTAATGACAAAGTAGCGTGGTCGAGGTTGGTGTTTTTTCTTTTTTTGTTGAGGGGGGGGGGGGTAGGCGGGTTTAACGTAAGTACGAAT